GGTCTCAGGAGATGAGGTCAGAGAGTACCAAGGGGTCCGTACTGTGTAGGGCCTTGAAAACCATTTTACGAATGTTGGGTTTTACGGAGTGAAGAGGATGCTTCTGCAGTGACAGTGGTGCGACATCACGGCACCGGAAAGGGATGGCCTAGGCTCGCGGCCAGGCTGGTGACGGCGTCTGTCTGAGAGTGGGGGGCGAGAGACGATCGGACGTGGAGTGGGGGTGGTGGGACTCAAGAGCACCTGCAGAGCTGGGCCTGAGCCACTGGGATGCTGGAGTTACCAGTGACCGATGCGGGGACTGTGGGGTCTGGGGGAGCCGGTGGAATCAGCTTTGGCTGCTAGTTCAGTTTGGCACGGTCGCCTGACCTCCAAGTTGAAACACCCCGGGCTTTCAGGTCTGTGTTCCGGGGAGGGGTGGGCCCCTCTGCACACAGGGCGCGTGGGAGGAGGGGCCCAAGGATGGAGGGGCTGAGCACGGCCCAGCCCTCTGGGACTGCGGAGAGGCCCTGGAACGTTCCACCAGCCAAGGGCCACTGTCAGGGGTCGGGCGCTGCGCAGAGCGGGGCGAGGGGGCCTGAACTGGGGGCTGGGGTGCCGAGGAGGGCACGCACGGCCCTGACGGGGACGCCTCCGTGGGCAGCCTCTCCTGGTGCCACCGAGGTGCTGCAGTGACTCGAGCTTTGAACACGTGTCCGTACGCGCCACTTTCAGAACTTCCTGGCTCTCCTTGAATGTTTGCTTTTCCGTATGAATTTTGGAGTCAGGTTATCTAGTTCTCCTTTTAGGATCCTATTAAGTCTAATTTATCTAAGACACTTATTGCCCATATCCAGGATGCCTTTCAGAAGGAAAGAACCACCAGTTAGAGTAGTGGCTCTGAAATTAAACGTCTGGAGAAAGTCCCCTTTGTTGTCGCTGGGCTGGCACCTAGCGGGGAGAGGCCGGGAGGAAGCCCCCGCTGCAGAGACGTGCCTGGTCCCCAGGGTTAGCAGCACCGCACT